TGCGTTTATATAGCGCATATACATTCTCAAGAGCATGCTCTATGCGCTTTACAACTATTATTACCCCAGCAGACCCACTGAGAACACTCAGAAACATTCTCGGCTTCCGCGGAAGCATACAGTGCAAGCTGCGGATTCCACGCGCTCAAACACTATCAAACTGACAAGATCGTTCACTGTCTATAGCCGGGAACCCATTTCCACCTGGGTGAAGTGAGAAAAATTTGTGCAAAGTGCCTTTCCCAAGGACGCAATGTCGGGCCCCCGACGGGATTCGAACCCATGACCTTACGGTTGCGAGTCCGAGAGCCTAACCACTAGGCCACCGACGCAAGGGATAAAAAACAGTCTCTTTAAAAATTATTAAGACTTTTGCGGCACTGCAACACAAATAAGTCATAATATAAGTTTCCAAGATTAGAGGTGTTACAAGAGAGTCACACAAATAAAAGAAGGGGGCGAGACAAGGACAGCGGATGTTTGATAGGAAGGAAAGAGCAATTAACCACAGCAGATAACCCGCCAACGACCCCAGTTTGTGTCTCTCTTACACATTCACAAGCTGTCTAAGAGAAAATACATTATAATATGCGTCAGTATCTTTAGTGTGGTCACACGAGAATTTTAGTTTTAGTAGAGGCGCTCGAAACAACATAAGGTCATATGAGCGCCAGAGGATCAGAGGTGTTACAAGAGAGTAACAAACACAAAAAAGAGGAAGGGGAGATAAGGACGATAGATCTTTCATAGGAAAGAAGAAGCAAACCACACCAGAGCACCCGCAACCACCCACCACGAGAATTTGGAAATGTTTCGAACCAAAGTCCCCCATAATGCTGCAGACCAGAGTCTCTATCAACTGACGAGGAAAAATGAAATATTACTGATGCCGGTCCACACAACGAAAGACGGAGATGGGTACAGAGAGAGGCGGGAAGTGGTAGAAGGAGAGGGAGGGAGACAGAGCGAGAGGGAGGGGGTGGGGCAAAGTTAGAGAAAAAAAACAAGGGAGAGAGTGATTGGGAGAGAGGGGGGGGGGGAGAGAGAGAGAGAGAGAGAGAGAGAGAGAGAGAGAGAGAGAGAGAGAG